GGAGCAGGTGCAGCCGCATAGGTTTGAGGCATCTCGGCCCCTGTGACATACACTGGAGGGGCAGTAGTGTAAGCTGCTGTCTGGGGGGCACCATACATCACTGGCTGCCCGGTTGTGTAGGCCATTGGCTGCTCAGTTGTGTATGTTACGGGCTGGCCAGTGGTGTAAATTGGCTGTGCGACCTTGGCAAAAGTCTTACACACAGACAAACAAACTAGACCAATCCTTTCACAACCAACTGCTGTCACACTCTCCAAGTATGTGACAGCCCCAGATTGCAGCATCATGGCGTTGAACTCCTGCATGAGTTTCTACCCTCTTCTCCTTCTCCCTTTTACCCTGCAATAGATGTGCACGAAGGTTGTCATTGGAACGCCGAAGCTACCTATAGCCGGTGGACACACTTGTAGCAAGCGGGTCTCGGCAAACTTTTCACATAACCATGGAAGTCTAACCATAACGGAATGAAAATTGGTTAATCGGCTCCACTTGGAGAATATCAAGGAACAAGAAGCTACTAGGGGCTCCTGGCCTTACTACTAGGAGCAAGGACGCTACTAGGGGCTCCTGGTATCGCTACTAGGAACAAGAAGCCCCCTTTTAGCGCACATGCAAGCCTCCCGGCTAATTGCTCCATCGTTGTTCGCATCCATGGCCGCAAATGCATCCTGCGAAATCGCCGCATGGGTGAATGCGAGGGCCAATGGGCCAATGATATCACTAGCTCACCAGAAACGCAAGACATCTGCAGCAGCAGAAAGAATGAAATTGAGCACCAAGTTACTAAGTGCACATAAAACACATTGAAAGCCAAATTGAAAGCCAGTCCGTTGCCGCCATTGTGTAAGAGCGAAGGAGAGGTGGTCACGCGCGTCTATCCAGATTTGTTGCGGCTTGAGGCTTCAAAAGAAAAAGGTTCACAGGGGACGATGAGAAATTGCTGCGAATACTAGTTACTAATGGTCAACTCAACGCTTTGTTCCATACAAAGAGACCCAAGAAACGTGATGTGTCTTTCAAACCTAAGAAAACAAAGCATCATACTCGGGAATGGGTAGGTCGCTATCGCAACTATTGAAGCCGCTAAAACGCATCCTTTTGTCTTCTCATGCATGCACGATCTTCATTGGCCGAGATGTGCGGGCAAAATGCATTTGACGTCAAAACCAATACCAAGTTCCAGCAGAATTGGCCGACTGGTCGTGACTGTGCTGTGTGTAGTAGCTCCAAGTCTCACACTGCACAGTCTGCAGCAAGTTTCTTAGACAAAAATTTTAACAAGCCTCTTCGACTATTTGCAACTAGATACTTCAATGATCGTTGGAAAGTCTGCGTCAGCCAGGGTCTTTCGCTATAGGACAACCGATCAGATCGCCAGCCGACCCACGTTCGACAGGGCTACGATCCTCCCATAGCTTTACCTGAGTTCCCAAAGTGATGATCAAGTATGTGGACAAAGGTCCTCTGTCACTGATTCACGACTTCATGGTTTGCAATGGTACAGAATCTTCTCCACCACCGACATACAAAAACAAATCATTCAACTCATGTCTCAATGAGTGAATGTCACAAACTCATCTTTCGATGCTTCCTGCGTAGGTGTGTGTGTGTGTGTGGCCAGGTGATTCTCACGGTCTCGCTGTGTGAAGTCAGGTTTGATGCACCGATCGGGCGGATGCTCCTGCAACCACCTGGGTGGTCGCTGATGGTGATAGAAGCTGAGCCTCGCCGTCTCGAACCTGCCTGTATTTCTCGGGTCCCTACTCCACTACTCCACGTCTCCACTTCCGTACTGGTTTCCCTACTCTGTCTGTGTGTGTGCGGCTTTGGGTTGTGTGTGTAACCCTTGGAGTCACACGGATCTTTCGGATTGGATTTTTTTGCTCAGCAGGGGGTGCCAGGGATGCACACTGGACTGGCACCAACGAAGACGCCAGTGTTGCATCTGTGAGTCGACTTGGGACGCCAAGTCGACGAACCTGCTCTGAACATAATGAATCCAGTGGTCACTGTTTGCAGGTCTTTCAGGTGAAGTAAAGTGTTAATGAGTTCTGCAGACTTGCGCGGAATGTCGTCAACCTGTCGCCGCTTTTCGTTTTCGTGCTTTGCCAACTTGAGTTCTTGAAACCTTTGGAAACTTCGAGATGTTGAGGGCTTTTGTGACTTACCTGAACCCTAGGTAAGAGCGCCCCCCCTTGGGGAGGCATGTGTGTGTGCCCCTTGTAGTCACAGGGATTCTTTTGCATTGTTTTAGCAGGGGGACTGTCTGCCCACAGAAGTGACAGTCCAACGAAGAGGCTTCTGTGGCGAGACTGATATCACTGGAACGGTTTTCAAGCTGTCCAATACCGTGTTGTGCACTAACATTTGCTGAGTTGAGCTTGACACTCCGCAGACTTGCACGCTCCGTCGTCACCCTGTCGTTTCGACCTCGACTTGCGCTTTTGGCCCCACTTCCTTTTGAAGACCCCCAGGATCCGGTGGTTCTTACTTGTACTCTTAGGAAATGGTACCCTAGGCCGGCGTGTGGCACCGCTGTCAGTTCCGTATGCATATCCATAAGTGTGTGTGGGTGGTGGGTGTTTGCATCTAGTCTCTAGCCACCAAACTAAGGAAATCTTGCCAAGACACTTGCAGTCATCCAAAACTTCAGAAGGTCTGGCCTGGCCGCTGATTCACCATGCACGTTGTTTTGCACCCTCTCAACTTCGAAGCCAAACACCCATGTAGATCACATAAATGTCTTGGCGTCACAAGTGACTGCAGAGTTTCATTCAATAAACCGACCCGTGGTTGGTTCTTTGCTCGATTTGCTTTCCACAAAACGACAGGTACAACAAGAGAGGTCCCATAGCCTCTGCAGGTTGCTACCAAAGGTATTTCCCCCTACTACCCTTGCCTTTCCCTTGCCAAGTTATTTCGTTTCCCATCGGTTATAAACAAACGCTTGCTTGGTCTTACAGGACAAGATTTGCCAAACCCTATGTCATTGCCAATATTCAACACTCTATCGCATGTCCAATCTCACACAAGAACCATCAAGAAGCCCTCTTGACTCTTGAGCCTGTGTTTCCCATACCATACCTTCTTCCTTCAGATTCATTTCACCTGCCCAGAGACAAGTCAGGACTTTGTAAGTGTCTGAAAAAGGGTACAAAGACAGTTTGTCGAGGAGTCTCAAAATTGAAGCTGCTGCCAACGATGGCCGCAAACATGCCTCTATCAGCGACCCACAGCTGCAGCAAACTCTTCACGGGACAGAGTACCGTCACCGTTGATGTCCATCTGGCAGAGGACCACATCTTCAATGACTCGAATTTATCGGTGCGACACGGGAGGAGCTTCTCAGTGCCACAAAATGCTGTGTGCAAACTAATCATAAGCTTGAGAGAGCCATGGCCATGCCCGCCTGCGCGAAAGCATCTACCTCATTGGGTCGGACCGAGGACCAATGTAGCAGCAAGGTAGACCAGCTGACATGTCCCAGCTAAACATAAAACAGCCCCAGTAAAATGAACATCACCTCCGGTTGACATCCAAAGATCTTACAGCTCACAGACAAATCATGCTTTTGATGTGCTTTTATCTTGATGAGCACATGTTGGACCGCAGCCAAGCTACGGTTCCAGGAGCCGCGGCATATTGCACTGGAGCAGATGAGTACACCATCGGGGCATTTGAGTACTGCACTGCACCAGAGTACATAGGAGCAACCGTCTGAGGGGCTCCGTACTGCACTGTTCCGGTGTACACTGCAGGGGCGGCGGCGGCATACTGCAACGTCTCTGTTGGAGCAGCGTACTGAATCGGTGCGGAGTACTGAATTGGTGCAGAGTACTGAATCGGAGCAGCAGCATACTGAGTCTCTGGGGCTGCGTACATCACTGGTTGAGCTGCAGCAGCGGAGCCTCCGGTGGTTGTGATAGGCGCAGCTTCAATGTATTGTGGTGCAGCCGTGTAAATCGGCTGTGCTGCTGAAGCAGAGGCACCAGTGGTGTAGATTGGCTGTGCCGATGCAGGGGCCGCATAGATCATACCTGCCTGCGGCGCTGGTTCAGCGGCCGCAGCAGGAGCAGCATAGATCATTGGCTGCTGGGGTGCTGGAATTGGCTCAGGGGCTGCAGCTGGAGCCGCGTAGATCATGGGCTGCTGGGGTGCTGGCGCTGGTTCAGGGACAGCAGCAGGAGCAGCGTAAATCATCGGCTGTTCGGGGGCTGCAGCAGGAGCAGCGTAAACCATTGGCTGTTGGATAGGAGCAGAATAGCTCATGATTGGCTGGGCTGCGTAGGTCATCGGCTGCAAGGCAGATGCAGAAGAGATAGTTTGAGGCACGGCCGCTGAGCTGGTCATGGCAGGCATAGTTTCTGTGGTGACTGCAGGAGCTGTCACGTACACTGGGGGCGCAGTGTAGGTGGCTGTCACAGGAACAGGCTGTGGTTCGGCGGTGTATGCGGTCACTGGAGCACCATAGGTCACCGGAGGCTCCATGGCAGGTGCAGGCTCAGTGGTGACAGCAGGAGTGGTGAGGTACACTGGAGGTGCAGTGTAGGTTGCAGTCACAGGAGCAGGGGCTGAGTATGTTGCTGGTGCAGCTTCTGTGGTGACAGCGGGGGCTGTGACGTACACTGGTGGGGCAGTGATGGTAGCAGTCACAGGGGCAGGTGCAGCCGCATACGTTGGTGGAGCCATCTCTGTGGTGACAGCCGGAGCTGTGAGGTACACTGGAGGTGCAGTGTAGGTTGCAGTCACAGGAGCAGGTGCAGCCGCATAGGTTTGAGGCATCTCGGCCCCTGTGAC